CTTGCTCAACAGGCAAGTTTCACACTTGTGGGTTGCTGCTGCACCTGTCAGCTTTAGCCCCTTAACCCCTTCATCCTTGTGCAGTTGCTGCAGTGCGGGCATAGCAATATGCCCGAGGCGATGGTGGGCTGTCATCCAGTCCGTTTCGCCTCCCCTTGCTGAAACCTTCAGCTCCTCTGCAGCTACAGCGTTGCACTCCCCCTGGAAGCCATTCCCTTTATCCCAGGGCACCACCGGCAGCTGCCACATGGACTTGCATATGTCCTTATCCTCATGCAAGTCCCAAAGCATCCGCTTTCCCGGCTCCCCCTTGAACGTTTTGGCGCCCTCGGTACTTGTGCTCACCCCGCACTTGCCTAACTTCCTCAGGGAGATGAGGTTTGCCTTCAAATCAGGTACCAGCAGCACATCACTTAGCACCACCGGTTTGCGGTCAGCTCCCTTGAATGCAGCGCGCCCCGCCCCCGTCACCTTGAGCGCATGCCCGGAAGCCGACTTCACTTTAGCAATCGGTGCTGCCCCCACATTGTCCAGGAGGTCAGCCCTTGGCGTCATAGTCCATGCTGCTCCTGTGTCCAAGATCCACGTGTTGAGCGGGTGCAGCTCGGCTCCAGCATGGGCGATTACTGCGACCTCATCCGGCTCACCAACGTGGAAGAACTGACCGGCTTTCGTCTCCTCTTGTTCAGCCGGTTCATCATCGGCAACCGCTCCGGTGCCGCTCCCATCTTGAGTCCTGTTGGAGGGGGTCCACCAGGTGGGTTTGGTCCTGCATTTAAACCACGAATGACCCACTTTCTCACAATACCAACACTTGCCTTCCATTCTCCCAGGTCCCCTTCCACCACCTCTGCCACCTCGGCCTCCACCACGTCCTGCTCCTCTACCGCCTTGCTGGTTAGAAGTCTCCTCATCCTTTGAAGCTCCTCTCCCAGTCCCTTGCCATTTCTTGCCTCTACCCCTCTCACCACCTTGCATTGCATAGCTGCTGCTTCCCTCCTCTCCTCCCCTCAACTGACGCCTCCGGAAGTCTTCCTCGAGTATCTTGGTACGAATCCACTCCAGAGTTCAGAAGCTTTGGTTTTGGGGAAGGCTGAGGCCGCTGCTGAAGACCATCCACGATTCTGGCAGCAGCGACAGCATCTTTACACATTTTGTTTGCTCGGGGTAGGTTATGCCAACAATGGCTAGCTTTGCGTAGAGATCTCTGAGCTTATCAAGGACGGGTTGGACAGGTTCTCCTTCACTGAGGCGCAGGGTGGAGAGCTCTCTCTCTAACATGAGGGTGGCTACAACGGAGGTAGGTGCATGAAGGTCCTTAAGCACGGTCCACGCCTTGGATCCGCACTCATCCTCTGGGAGTAGGTGCATAATGTGCTGGCGTTGAGCAAGATCGAGGCACTGAGAAAGGATATAGTATCCAGCTGATGAACGTTCGTCCCAATCACCCTGAAGCTCCGGGTTGCTAGGGCGTTTCTCACTACCGATCATGACTTTGAGGAGTCCTATTTGCCGAAAGTATAACTGCATCTTCCAAGACCAGTCGTCGTACCCTTCACCACTGAACTTGTCGACGGAGAACGTTTTCAGCACTTCCCTTAGTAGTGGGCCCTGGTTCGTCTGTGCTACCCTAGTTGCGGAGACTCCAGATTCCTGGCTGCCACTACTCGCGGGAGCTGAATTCCCTTCTTCCAGGCGACCCCATCGTTGGATACGTTAAAAACGACTAATTACCAGCTCTGATACCATGTGTTGACAGCTATAACGTTATGCGGAAGCGACTAAAGCTTGAACTACAAACTTTGCTCGGCAACACTTAACATCACTTGCAGCCCTTCGAGTGTGACAGCTTGTCACCTCCTAGCCAAGGGCGTAGAAATTAGCAAGTGAGTAGTTATGCCTTGCTCAGCTTGTAGGATGAGCAAACTGGTCGAGAAGAGTATCGGCAACACCAAGGTAATATTTCTACTCTCGTCAATACGAAGTAGTAGAATGCGAGCTTGAAAAACGCAAATGCATTAGATTAATTTCGACAGGTACAAGTACACATTTATATAGATTCTACACACAGGCAGGAGCAACTAGAAAACAGTTGTTTAACTGGCTCGCAGGATTTCGCCACGCTATATCTTGAAAACAGTTGCACAACTCCTTGAGCATTTGGCTATATCCTCCTGTTGTTAAAAACTGTCTTCAAATTGCACTTGTAACAATCACCCCTGCTGACTCAAATGTGTACACTCATGAGACTCGCATGTTGCTCCAATGTGGCTCAAATGTCTTCATGCGAGCTCACAGTTGTATAACGGTTTTTACCGTTTGAAAAACGGAGTAACCGATTTGCACCTGTGTCGAAATGATTCCGCAAAGCGAAATGACTTTCGCGAGAAATTTCCCGTCCCGTGAGTCAACTTGGAAAACGGTTTTTCAACTGTAAATTCCGAGCACCCCTCGTGCCACACGCACGACCGAGATTTTTTCTCGGTCGTGCTGTACAGCGCGCCATGATCGTAATCATGCGCGTGTACAGTACGGGACAGGGCCGAAATGGGCCCTGTCTTGTTGCAATCGTGCTGTACAGCACGCTCGCAACAGTACGCAGCACACGCGCGTGCTCTGTGGTCCCACACGCGCGTGCCTTGACCCACGATCGGGTCTTGACTTTCACGCTTTTGACCAGCGCGAGAAAAGTCAAGGCACCTCTTGACCAGTCAAAGAACCGAGCACCCCTCGGTACACCACCCGCTCACATGAGGCTCCAATAAGTCTCGCATGAAAATTCGAGACTCATGGGACTTTCATGGTCGCTCGCATGAGCCTCGCATGAAACATTTAAGTCCCATGCGAGCTTCGTTTGAGCTCCATAAGGTCTTCATTTGAGCCTCATTTGAGAGCTTCGCATGAGTCTCATTTGAGAGCTTCGCATGAGTCTCATTTGAGCGCGTCATGAGGGCCTCATTTGAGCGCTTTATGGGAGCTTCATGAGAACAGTGAAAACGAAGCTGAAAATGCAAAAACACAAAATGCACTTATGAATAAAAACGAAACACACAAAACGCAAGAACAAATGCGCACAGAACGTTCACAAAATGAAAATGAAAAATGCGCACACACACAAATATGCAAAATGCGACGCAGGCAGCTGGTTGACGTGCAAAAAATAAATATTTGCACCCAACAAACTCCCCCTCAAGCAGTCGCCTGCTTGCACTCACATTCATGAGCCTAGTTAAAGCTCATGCCACTCAGCTTAGCACAGCGCCAATGAGGTTCCTCAGCCAGCCGCTTCGTGAGGAAATCAGCCGGCTGCTGCTGCGTTTTCACGTAGAGAGGCTCAAGGGTTCCCCTCTGCACTTCCTTGCGCAGCCAATGCCACTTGATGCCCATGTGCTTGGTAAGCCCATGTAGTACCGCGTTCTTGGCCATGGAGATGGCACTGGTATTGCCACAGAAGAGTGGGGTTGGTGCCTTCTGCTCATGCCCTCCATCCGGCTCTCCTTTACCTGTGAGGCCACGGAAAGAAGGGCAAGGATTTGAGAGATGGCAACAAAAACAGAGCCCCCTCTTGTACACCTATGCCACTCCCTCCATCCGGCTCTCCCTTTACCTGTCAGTTGCAAGGTAAGAAGGTCATACAAAGGGCTTGTAAGGCTAGGAGTGTGGATTGAGGTGTACGCTGTAAACAACGACCCATGTACAGAGCCCCACGCATGCCTCTGGCCCTCCTACCCTCCTGGATTATGTCACTCCTGTAAATGGAAGGGTAACAAAGCACTCAAAACCAGCATGGTATGATGAAGGAGTGTGCACTGTTCAGAACCCAATATGTGCATGTTGCTAAAAAAAACTTATGCCTAGGGCACCTGTATAACACAAACTAAGGATCACATGAGCACAAGACTATGCATGAGCGGGGAAATGGCGAGAGCTCACTCGTCCGTCAGTTCCTGCAAATGCTGCAGTGTGCTCTCCGTGTGCCCTGGGAGCCGTGCGCAGTACAGATACAACTCAAGGTATGCTCGAATGGCACTCAACTGCAGGTCCCCAAGCTTGTCCGCGACCACAAAAATCAGCACCTGTGAATATGATTTAGGGAATACAAAGTTCAGGGTAAATATTCCTTTGACATGGAGCGAGTAACAGTTCAAGCGTTGGAGGGGCCGGGTAGTTGCTATCAAACGGTCACACATTCAATACACTTGCCTGCAGGACAGATCGGTGCTCGAACGCCGCCACTTGCGTATCGGACACGAAGTACGTGGAGTTGGGGAGCCGCAGATGAGTCATGCGAATGCCCTCTCTAAGAGTTTTCAAGCGCCTGAGCATGACACAAACGAACATGGTTACAGAATACACAGGAAGTTTCTGATGCACTGCCCCACTCATATGTCACAGCAATCTGAAAATTGGCCCTTAGTTACGACAGCCGACATGACTGATCCAGCAACACCGTACACTCACCTGTTGAACAAGGGAAGAAACCAGCTGTAAGTGGCGCAGATGGCAGAGACAAGGTGGTGTAGAATCCCCAAATCGGCTTGATGCATTATGTCCGGCATAATGCATAGGTATGGATTTTCCCACGGCTTCCCAAAAGCGTCCCACAGGCATAGTGAAGACTGCAGGCATAGAGTGAGATCGACTAATGTGAGGAGGATGTTTGAAATAAATGAATCAATCTGGTTTAGGGTTTGGAAATGAGAAGCGTCGTTGCAGTGAAATGGGTGAGTGCATGAGAAGGCAGTGAAAGGGTGAGGGCATGGGAGGGCCGTGAAATGGGCGTGTTCATGGGAGGGCAGTGAAATGATCGTGTTCATGAGAGGGCAGTGAAATGGGCGAGTGTTCTGGGAGGGCAGTGAAATGGGCGTGTTCATGGGTTTAGGGCATTCAAATGGGCGAAGCGGGTGGTGAGCACATGAGATGGCAGAGAGAGTGGTGAGCACATGAGATGGAAGAGAGAGGGGTGAGCACATGAGATAGCAGAGAGAGTGGCGAGCACATTAGATGGCAGAGAGAGTGGTGAGCACATGAGATGGCAGAGAGAGTGATGAGCACATGAGATGGCAGAGACAGTGGTGAGCACATGAGATGGCAGAGAGAGTGGTGAGCACATGAGATGGCAGAGAGAGTGGTGACCACATGAGATGGCAGAGAGAGTGGTGAGCACATGAGATGGCAGAGAGAGTGGTGAGCACATGAGATGGCAGAGAGAGTGCAAGGCACGGCAGCGAATAACCTGCTCCTCTCCCCCCATCTCCATCTCGCCCCTGCCTTTCTCTGTGCCTGGCAGAGCCACGGCAAGGCACGGCAGCGCCTAACCTGCTCCTCTCCCCCCATCTCCGTCTCGCCCCTGCCTTTCTCTGTGCCTGGCAGAGCCACTGCAAGGCACAGCAGCGCCTAACCTGCTCCTCTCCCCCCATCTCCGTCTCGCCCCTGCCTTTCTCTGTGCCTGGCAGAGCCACAGCAAGGCACAGTAGCGCCTAACCTGCTCCTCTCCCCCCATCTCCGTCTCGCCCCTGCCTTTCTCTGTGCCTGGCAGAGCCACTGCAAGGCACGGCAGCACCTAACCTGCTCCTCTCCCCCCATCTCCATCTCGCCCCTGCCTTTCTCTGTGCCTGGCAGAGCCACGGCAAGGCACGGCAGCGCCTAACCTGCTCCTCTCCCCCCATCTCCGTCTCGCCCCTGCCTTTCTCTGTGCCTGGCAGAGCCACGGCAAGGCACGGCAGCGCCTAACCTGCTCCTCTCCCCCCATCTCCGTCTCGCCCCTGCCTTTCTCTGTGCCTGGCAGAGCCATGGCAAGGCACAGTAGCGCCTAACCTGCTCCTTTCCCCCCATCTCCGTCTCGCCCTTGCCTTTCTCTGTGCCTGGCAGAGCCACTGCAAGGCACGGCAGCGCCTAACCTGCTCCTCTCCCCCCATCTCCGTCTCGCCCCTGCCTTTCTCTGTGCCTGGCAGAGCCACAGCAAGGCACAGTAGCACCTAACCTGCTCCTCTCCCCCCATCTCCGTCTCGCCCCTGCCTTTCTCTGTGCCTGGCAAAGCCACTGCAAGGCACGGCAGCGCCTAACCTGCTCCTCTCCCCCCATCTCCGTCTCACCCCTGCCTTTCTCTGTGCCTGGCAGAGCCACTGCAAGGCACGGCAGTGCCTAACCTGCTCCTCTCCACCCATCTCCGTCTCGCCCCTGCCTTTCTCTGTGCCTGGCAAAGCCACTGCAAGGCACGGCAGCGCCTAACCTGCTCCTCTCCCCCCATCTCCGTCTCACCCCTGCCTTTCTCTGTGCCTGGCAGAGCCACTGCAAGGCACGGCAGCGCCTAACCTGCTCCTCTCCACCCATCTCCGTCTCGCCCCTGCCTTTTCCTGTGCCTGGCAGAGACACTGCAAGGCACAGCAGCAAATAACCTGCTCCTCTCCCCCCATCTCCGTCCCGCCCCTGCCTTTCTCTGTGCCTGGCGGAGCCACGGCAAGGCACGGCAGCGCCTAACCTGCTCCTCTCCACCCATCTCCGTCCCGCCCCTGCCTTTCTCTGTGCCTGTCAGAGACACTGCAAGGCACGGCAGCGAATATCCTGCTCCTCTCCCCACATCTCCATCTCGCCCCTACCTTATGCCGCATGAGCATCCAGGCAGCCCCTTGCTCCCTTTCTCGTCAGTGGAGGCATCCATGCCATGCCGCATGAGCATGCCCACGCTAGCTTGGTGGGAGCACACAACACATGCTCTCACTCCCTCCGCTCGCCCCAATCCCCTTGATTCCAGCCCCTTGCTCCCTTTCCCGTCAGTCCAGGCACCCATGCCATGCCGCACGAGCATGCCCACGCTAGCTCGGTGGGAGCACACAACACATGCGAGTCTGCCATGCCCGTTATCATGCCCATACTCACTTGGAGGGAGCACACAAGCTCTCACCCTCTCCGCCTGCCCCTTATTTCCAGCCCCATGCTCCCTTCACCGTCGAGAAAGCCACCTCTGCGCTGCCTCCCGGAGCACTTATTGTGTCTTGCTCCACTCCCTACATTTCCTGAACACCCTTTTACCAATTTACAGAAGAATGGGGACCGGACTGGCACGTAGACGATGAAACGAAGTGGCCTTTTTCGAGCGAAATTTTCAGTGCGGGAATTTTCGCTGCATTCGTGAGATCAGGCATGTCACTGGGGGTATGGAAGACCCGCCAAATTGCCTTTGCATTGTTCGCTGTAAGTACAGGCACCATGATTCTGAATTTGTTTCTGTATTTGCATCCAGTCCAGAAACTCATTGCCATTATCGTGCCTTGCAGCTGGAATACCCGATCTTGACAAAGACCGCCGATGGAAAGTTGAGCAGCAAACCCGACTACAACAGGCCGTTGTATGAGGACAAAGTCAAGTGGTGCCGAAAATGGGTGGAGCATGCGGTCACCAACCTTGGCGTGAGCTATGATGACAGTAGGGACGTGTTTGTGTTCGGCAATGGCGTCCTCATCGATGCTAGTGACTACGTAGCTGGATTCAAGAAGACGACTATTGTTCTGCAGTAGCCTAGCATGTTTCCCGAATTTATTGCTTCTATTGACTCAGTAAATTTAATGTGTGGGCACATTTAATATATCCGTTTAATAACAAATAAAAAAATATAAATTTCAAATACATTTATATATACGGATAAATGAACATTTACAACACTGAATTACACGAATGTATATGAAAGCCATCTAACTGTACCGTTTTCACTGTTTTCGCTGTATAAAAAATATTGCAATTACTAATTGCATCCCATGCGCGATGGTGATGGAAATCCGCCAGAAATTGTATCTGTTTGCCGTCGGAAATCATCGAACCTCTCTGAGATGGAAAACCGATAGAAAATTTAGTGACAAAACCAGTGCGCCACTCGTTGGAAATCCGTCGGAACAAGTTGAAAGTTTTCCGACGGATTTCCATTGGTTGGACAGAAAACCGAACCTAAACCACCTGTTTTCAGGCCCGGTTTTTTTTTTTATGTACAGACATCGACAGTCGATCGTATGGTTGGAATGGATGATGGTGGGCACTTTGGACACGCGCTGGCGTCTGTGCAAACCGGGGATTGGATGGTCGCGCCAGCCACAGGCATATGGGTGGGAATCAGCTGTTTATAACGTGGCTCCCACCTGAAACAACAACTCGCGCATCTCACGGTTGCCCTGAATTTGAATGTTATGACCAGTACATAACTTGCCATGGCAGACGAGGCGAGTTATACACCCGCTATGGCGAGTCCCGAATGTACGAATTCGCAAGTGTAAGGAAAATTCCGTTTCCATACTTCGCGTCCCCGCTCAGCGCGTACAACACTGATCCCGCCAACAGCACCCAACAGTAACCGTTACCACTCGCGACATTCGCCCTGACACTGTTCCCGCCACTGTTCACGACGCGACCCAACCTCACGGTTCGGTTGGTAACCCGCGCTCCGGACCTCCGCCTCGTCATTTCCCAACCTCGGCGGCAGGCCCGTCGCGCATCCCATTTTCACGCATTACCGTTACCACTGTAGTTTCGCTATATATTCTTCGCTCATGCCTTCGCTCATTGTACTCTTCCTTCGATAGTGCAACCCTCGTTCGTTCACTCAATTGCACTCGTAACACTTGGTATTCATAGCCTACGATCTCTTCTCGGACCGCACCCACACCTTCGCTTCCCCACTATCTCAATTGTTTGGGGGGTAGACGTCTCTCAGCAAAACAGGCACCGGCGCTCGTAATGCTCTCACGTAAGCACACACGGCCACGACAAAGGCTCTCGTTGAGCTTGCCTAACACCCCTGCCATGGCCAAGTTTACTCTCGCGACACTGACGTAGGAGCAACTCGACCGTCTCGTGCGCCAAATCGAAGATTCGGCGCTCGAAATTGCGACACTTACGGCGGAACGCGACTCCGCTCGTCAGCAATCCACGGTGAATGCTCCAGCTCCACCACACGCACCTGCAAATGCACCCGCACAATCGGAGGAGCCGATCGTCATTTCATCAGGCACACCCACACAAAATGATAGTGTAGGACAGCGCTTAGGCGCAGCCAGTGATGGCGCCGCCCAATCGATGCCTGGCATGGAGAGGAACAGGGCCGCGCCAAGCCCGTGGGAGCCTCGTGAAGCCGGTCGGCACGTGGAGTTTGCGGCGACAAGTGACGATCACGCCATTATGGCACCAATGCCACTCAAGCCGCAGCGCCCGCCCTGCTTCGACTCGAGCCAGCGTGGAGGTCCGACGGTTCAATCGTGAGTCTTCACGATGAACGTCTTTTTCGACGCGAACTACGTCGAGTCGGACGCAGCGAAGATCCGATACGCCGTCTCGCTGCTGAGAGGCCCCACCATGGACTGGTGGCGAGTCATAGTGACGTCGCCGTGCACCTACGAGCCACCGTCACAAGAAGATAGGCCCACGGGCCTAGATGTCACCTGGAGTTCATTCTGCGAAACCGCCCAGTACAGCACGTGGGACGCGTGGTGCGCAGGGCTTCGGGCACGCTTCGAGCCGATTGCGGCTTCTTTTTTGGCGCGCCAGAGACTGCGCACTTGGCGGCAGCTCGGGTCGGTCCAAGACTACACGAGCAGTTTTTTCGCATTATGCGAGCAAGTCGGCTACATGCACGAAGCGGAGCGGGTGGACCGCTACGTCGGAGGGCTGAAGCCGGACATCTTGCACGAAACCATGCTACGCGGACTCTTGAATTTCAACGAGATTCTCGCGCTCGCTGAGAAAATCGACATTTTGCGCCGTCCGAGACCGGGGTCGCCCTCAGGGACTGATCGAGCACGCCACCGTATATGCCGTTGCGACAAATGCAGCTGCCGCGCCGTTTAAGGGGCGTTGCTTTGCTTGCAATCGGCCGGGCCATCGCAAGAGTGAGTGTCCAGAGGAGCTGAGGCGCCGCGGAGCAGAGCAGGGGAGGGAGTCTCCAAGGCAGGGAAACGCCAGCAGTCGGTAGGAATCGGGCCAATTATTGACGAGACTGCCTGCTCGCCCAACCTCACCGACCCTCACCGAGTCACAGTACCGATTCATGCTATCGATCGGGCTCGGACGAATAAGGAGGGTACAGCGACGGATTGCCCAGTACTGATCCACGGGAAAATACAGGGAGCAGCAGTGAAGTTTTTTATCGACGGAGGAGCAAGTCACAGTTTAGTTTATACCGCGACAGCACGGAAACTGCAACTGACATTTAGCCGGTGCTTACCGGAGGTAGATGCACGCTTAGTTGACGGCACACCGCTGGCCATACGGGAGAAAGTGGAGAGAGTAAAAGTCCGCTGCGGGGGGAATTTTGGGTTTACACAGGAAATGCTCGCGACGACACTGGATGGGCGCGACATTTTTCTAGGACGTGATTGGCTACGACAGTATAATCCGCGAAGTGACTGGACGACGGGTAGCTGCACTGTGCGAAGTAGTGGTAATTAGGTCGAGCTACCTTGCTCGCAGTCGCCCGAGTCTTCAACGGTCCACGTCAATGCCATCACAATGAAACGGGTCGTCGCCGCTAGAGCTGACGTGTACGCAGTGGACATCGCAGTAGTAGGAGAAGCAGAGCAGCCGAGCGATTTTCAGAAACTGCTGGCAGCGGTACCGCCCGAACTACAGGAACTGTTGAAACGGTACCCGGGGATTTTTCCCGACGACTTACCGGAGGGACTGCCACCTCAGCGAGCACATGGCCACGGAATAGAGCTAGAATCGGGGGCACAGCCAACCGTACAGCGACAGTTCAGACTTACACAACTCGAACTCGACGAAGTGAGGAAATAGTTAGATTACCTGTTAGAG